TTTTTTTTTTTTTTTTTAAGGTTTTTGACTTCTGGGTTCTTCTGCTTGAATGGTGCAGTCGTTTCAGGTACGTGCAACGATAAGATGCATTTAAGTAAGCCATGCTTCAGGGCCCCCGAAAAAGGATGGCGGGAGTGCCAACTACTGTTGGTCAGGTGCCTGTCAAAATCCACTTCGCGGGAACGAAGAAACCAGTCCAACTTTCAGCATCAGCCGGCCCTCAAACTTGAACCCTGAACAATCTTGACTGAACACAAGGCATGTTGAGGTGTTTGGAAGTATGTACTCTGAAGAGTTCCATATCCTGAACAATACTAATAATAGAGATAATAGTACAAAATATTAATACGAACAATACCGGTTGCAATAGTAATGTTAGTAATAATGGTAATCATAGTCATAATAATAGTAANNTAGTAATAGTAATCGCAATAGTAATAGTTATAATCTGCCAAGGCCATCGGCGACCCTCTCCTGAAAGGGCTGCCAAAGGGAACCATGATTCAGCTGGAGCGTGGGGGACTCGAAGGCATCCAGAGGCTCAAGCGGATCTACCCTTAGAGGCTTCATAGGGGATATGTACAGGATGTATAGGAATATTATAAGGATATTATAGGGATTTACAGTGTTTTTTGGTGATTTCCCAAAGTTTGGGGATTTTCACCATGCCTGGAAGAATTTTTGGTGGCTTCAATGGGTTTCATGGGAGGAGGGGTTTCTGAACTTTTCCCTTTCGGCACGAAGATCTGTAGGGCTTTTTGTGCGGGAGCTGTTATGCATGGTCATGGTAAAGACCACTCTTGACACGTAGCAGCCACCCATTCCACCTAATGTCGTACATAGGCATGCGCCGGAGACCCCAATCGAAACACAGTCAAACAGCTACACACAGCGCTTTTATAAGCCTGCAGAACCCTGTAGAAGCCATATATGAACGAACTTTATATTTACCCGTATAAACTACCTATGGAAACCGAGGTAGAGGCTACTTCATCGTGGATCGTCCAGCCTTCCAGCCAGGTGAGACTTTCTCAAACGGTTTAGGCTTTACGGGTTTACTGTTTGGGGTGTAAAGTTTAGGATCTGGGCGTGAAATACCAAAAGCTTCTGACGATGGATCCCTTTGTTTGGCATTCAATCCGCTGTCCCGCGCCGCTATTCTATAGCCGTGGACCTCGAGAGATGGAAGGGCTCATAAGGCATCGATGCATACTGCACCGATTGTTCATGAATGAGTGCAGCAGATAGCACGCGGTACCGTGGGTTTGGGCACCGTGTACCATTGCCACCGTGCCCATGGATTGGTCCAACGGACCGGTGAGCTGATCAACAGGTCTTGTTCCATCTCCCCTGGGCAGCAGTGTGAAGCGTGATGTACCAAGCACCACTTACACAAGCACTGACAAGCTCGATCCTGATGTGCATGCACGCATCTGAACTAGCCGAAGCCAGGACAGAAGCCATCCTCTGCTGTACAAACGTTGGCCACCAAGCCGAAAGATCTCCGGGAGGCAGCTGAAGTCCCCAAAACTTTGTGGCCATAACCCCAGGCGCCTCCCAATGGCGTGACTACCAAGCAAGTTCGGCTGATGCCTCCCATGCGGCGCCAGCCGCTAACGACCAAGGTAAGGCTGGTCAGCAAGCCACCACCTCCCAGACGATGGCCGGGTAGAAACTCTCCCTATGCTCCAAAAGACAAACGAGGCATACTCCCCGGGGGGTTTGAACCCCAACCGCATGGGCAAGGCCGACACTCCGCTGGGGATTGGAACCCCAATCCAAGCTCAGAGCTCCGACAAGTAATGCCGCCGGGCCGCCCGAAGGCTTCATCCTGTCGATGTAGGAAATCCCATTATGGTTGAGGGTCTAGTATTAGGATTTTTAGGGTCGAGGGTCGTGTACCCCTCCGTCAGCTAGTATTCATATACCCTGTCCTCGAACTACTGCATACTGCAGAGTCCCCAGTGGTGGGCGATTTCCTCTACCCCTGAGCTCCAATCTATCAAGCTCCATGCCTGGATCCCTAAACCATTAGGTCTTAGCTCTGGCCCGAGTACCTGTCAGAGGTGGAGTAGCTAACAACAGAACACCGGGAGGCTGTTGCGCCATGGCGCTTGGGGATCGGACATTTGTGGGGATGGCTGTGGGCCAATTCTGGACAGGGGTTTTGAGGATCGACTCTTCAGGGGCCACTGCTCTTTGGACACGGGAGCCAGCTACAGTGAGAGGTGTGGTCCTCGACAATGGGGTTCATACTGTGTATCAATTTGAATTTCTTGGCATTCAGGATGGGGTAGCTGTACTAAAGGCAGGAGACGGTGCACTTTCCTTCAGGGCAAAGCCGACAACCACGCAGTCCTATCGCACCTTGATCGATCTCTGCTCTGGGCTGGGCGGTATGTCGCAGGGTCTTCGTGGACTAGCAGGGCATACACTTGTGTATGTAGATCGGTCTCCACTTGCAGCAAGCACTGTTCGTGATAATGGCGGGAATGCCATTTGCGGTGACATTGGAAGTCCTCAGGTTCAGTTGCAACTTCATCAGCAGGCAGAGCACAGCGCCTGTGCTGGCACCATAACCGCGGGGGTACCATGTCAGCCATATTCACGGCAGGGTATGCAGCTTGGTTCTTTGGATGAGCGGAGTTTTGTGCTCAATCATGTGCTTCAGGTGGGCTGGCGTTTGCAAGCAGCTTGTATCATCCTAGAATGTGTGGCGGAGATTGCTGGGCACGAGGATATTTTGTTACTCATCCGTGAGTTTGCAAGCAGGGCAGGCTACACGTTGCATAGTGTTGAGCTAGAGCTTGGCAAAATCTGGGTCTCAAAGAGAAGGCGTTGGTGGGCTTGCCTGGTGGTCGAGGAAGGGCCCCCTTTCAGCCTGGAGTCATATCCTGAGGTAGAGCCGCTCATGACTGTAAAGGATGCTGTGCCGGAGTGGCCATGTTGGGATGCAGTCGCTGAGCAAGAGTTGCTGTGGACACAGACAGAAGCCCAACTTCTGCTTAGCCCTGAGTATGGAGCAGAGCCAAGAATTCTCAACCAGCATGCTCAGGCACCAACAGCGCTCCACTCGTGGGGCAACGCACTGGACCGCTGTCCATGCGGTTGCAGAAATGCGGGCTTCACGCTGCAGCGATTGCGCTCAGGGGGTCTTAGAGGGGTTGGGGTGTTTTCCGGTTTGTTCGGGGTCCTTAGGTTCCTGCACCCGTGTGAAGCCGGTTTCCTGAACACCCTTTCCCCCGCCTTCCGCTTCTTGCAGGGTGCCCGTGCTGGGTTGTGCCTGGTTGGCAACATAAGTGCACCGATTCAAGCCCATTGGGTTTTGGCATCCTTGCAGAGCTGGTCAGCCAAGCAGAAGCAGGATGAAAGACCACTTGACCCGGTTGCTTCCCTGCAAGCCTTTAAGCAGTGCCTGCTTGCCGAGAGGCATGACCTGTGGCCGGTGCCCTCGCTTTCCCAGCCGACAAGTATTCCATGTACTTTTGTTGCCAGTTGGCTGTTGCCTCAGTCCAGTTGTCCTTGGCAAGCCAAGCATGTCATTGAAGCTGCCCGCAAGGTGGTAGGCCCAGGGTACTCGATTCAGATCAGGTCTGGCAGCCGCCTCCTTCGGCCAGAAGCGTATTTGCATGCCAAGGGCCTTGATTACGCAGTTCATGTCCGGCCGAAAAAGAGTGCTAAGCCTGGCACTCCACTTTCGGGGGCCGAGTCACGGCCGGTTTGCACGGTTGTTGTTCTCACAGCAACGGGTACCAGGCTTCATCCATGTGCAGTTGGCACATCTGTTACTGAGGTGCTCGAGCAACTTGCCTTGCCAGTCGGCTTCGCACAGGTCCTTGGAAGTGAAGGGGTTGACCTTTGCACTCCCCTTGCAGCAGATGTTGTTGTTGATGTGCGGCCGCCTGCCGAGCCTTTGCCAGTCAGTGCCGGGATTTCTGATGCCAGCGTTGCCGCTGTCCTTGAAAGGTTTGCTGCCCAGGTTCTGCCTGAAGTTTCCTGTGTTCCGCCCGGCTTGGTCACAGCTATAGCTGGCCTCACTGTTGAGGATGTGTTGCAGTTTGGCAGTTTCCCAGGGGTTCTTTCGTCGGCCAACCGTATGTTGTTGCCATTCGCACATGACAACCACTGGGCCTGTCTTTGCGCGCAAAGTGCTAATGGGCAGCTTCGATTCCTGTGCTTGGATGGCATTCCTCAGCGTGTCGCTGCACATGCCGAGAAACTGTGCAAGATCTTTGCTGCGCTGCTGGGCTATAGCAGCTATGAAACATGTCATCAGACTTGGTTTTTGCAGGCGCCAGATGAGCCTTGTGGGGCCAATATGTTGCGGCATCTCTGTGCATGCGTCGCTGGGCCTGGCCCACAGGTAGAAGACGCTGTCAGGTCCCTGCTTCAGGCAGCCCCACTTCCGGGGAGGGAATATGGGCGAGGTGAACTGTCCGCAGAGCAGTCACAAGCCCTTCGAATTCTTTTACTTGAAAAGGGCGTCCCTGAAAGCAACCTTGCTGAACGCATTCAAGCTGCGGTTAGGAAGCTCGGGGCCGGGCCCATTGCCAAGGCGCTTGCTCACAAGCAAGCCTGGGCTCAACTTAAGGCCATAGCGGCAAAGCCAGGCAACATGTTCAGGTGGATTCCAGCGGATGAACTTGCAGAGCACATTGAAGCCAGGGCTAACGCCAAGTTTGGAACCAGCATTCCTGGTGGCAAGGACAAGAAGCGCAGACAGACTGTGCAGAAGCAGGCTGGGCCACTACACATCGACCCAGCCAAGCTTCAGATTGCCCCCAAGTCATTCGTCAATGCCGATGGCTCGCCTTTGCCACAGCTTGCGTTTGAGGAAGTTGGTGTCGAATCTACCGGCGTTGCTTTTTGTTCTGTTGGGCAAGCCATGCCTTTTCTCGAGTCGGGTCGGTCCCTCAGCGTTGATGCATTGGGCTTGGTCTGTGTCAACACGCTGTCAAAGGACCAGTGTGGCTTGGCTTCTGTTGTGGCGGTGCACTTTCCGGCCATATATGCTCCAACTGGAGAAGCCGTGCTTATCCGCGGCTCCCTCATTCAGTTGGGAGACGAGCCTGTCCAACTCCAGCAAAGTCAATTTGCCGACACAGATCAGGTCGAGACTGTGACTTGCAGGTTTACGGTCTATCGGGACGAAGCCGCTCTTGACTGGACTGCGTTCATTGCGGCCCCTATCCGCACGCTGGTTTCAGGGAATCCAGGCCTTGCGCTGTGCAAGGAAGCGTCTTGTGGTCAGACATGTGGCCGTTTCCACGCCTCTGTGGAGGAAGCGGATTGCATAGATAGGCTTCTCCTCGACCTTTGGGGGAGACAATGGCTGATGCTTGAAGGCGGTCGCGCAGCTCCGGAGCAAGCTCAGGTCTTTGCCTGCCTGGTTCGGGTTCCAGCTTCGGCAGTCAAGCACTTGCATCAATTGCACATTCGAGGATTCTATGCTGAACCCCGTGCAGCTGGAGGCAATGGCCCGCATACAGCCTATGCGGTCGTGTGGCTGCAGGATGCTGAGTATTCACGTGCTTTGCATTTGTTGCGCACATGCCCTCAAGGTGTCGCCCTCACGAGGCTGGGCAAGCGATACGGCATCAGGTGCCGTGAGGCAGACGAGCAAGCAGTGTTCCAGGCCATGCATCCAGGCAGTGACTTTCAGAAGATTAAGGTGGTTGCCCACTACCGCCTTCACCCGCTGCCGTTTGGGTGCCAACGCAAGCACCTTCAAAACCTGCTCCGGTCCTGGGCTTGGGACGCAAAGCCCATGCAGCCTGCAAAGGGCGATGGTGAAGGATCCGCTTGGATCGTGGGTGCTTCTGAGGAGCCGCCAGGTCCGGCCATCGCATGTGGAGGAACGTTTGTGTTGGTCCGGAAAGTGCGTGACACTGTTGCCCAGACACCCCCTTCAAGCCTCACAGCTTCAGGTCGCACTCGCAGGAAGATCCTTTACGATGATGGAGAGGAGGAGCCCAGCAGCGCCAGTCATGACCCGTGGACTGGTGGCCGAGATCCGTGGTCGTTGGCGAGGCCGCCGCCGGGACTTCCGAGCCCCGCCCCGCCGACCAGTGCAGGAACGCAAGCTAAAATCTCACAGCTCCGTACTGAGCTCTCCCAGGGCATGCAAGACATCGTTCAAAAGCACCTCCAGTCTGCTGACCAGGACTCTGTTCAAAAGGCCGCTGCTTCGGAAGCAAGGCTTTACAAGCTCAACCGGTTTCCAGGAACTTAAAGCTCAGGGAGAGAAGTCTGAAGGCTGGTTCCAGACTTTTGGCAAGCAGGTCTCTTCCTCTAGCAGTCAAGTTGAGGCGTTGCAAAAATCTTTCCATGCCCAGGCAGGTGAGGTTGCCCAAATTAAGGCCGAGGTTACGAAGCAAGCAGAGTTGTTGCCTGCGACCGTGCAAGCTGCTGTCAACACGCTTTCCTCGGAGCTTGCAACTCAGATGCAGCAGCAGTTTCAGCAGCAGAACAGCCAGCTTGAAGCCCTGCTCTCCAAGAAGCATCGGACTGAGTGACTAGGTCCCACCAGCTGCGCTTGTCGGGCAGAGCGCAGGCTGAGCTTGATTGATTGTGCCCTTTGGGCTGTGGCCTTCCTTTTGTCATGCCTCTTCAATGGCATCTTGCTTGTTGCCGCTTCGGTTCGGCTGGGGGTCAGTCGGGCTTTGCAGGCCTTTCTTCTTCTGTGGGTCTCTGGACTTAGCGCAGTCATGCACTTGAGTGTCAGCCAGGCTCCACGCCACAGACCGCACGTCGTGTGCTACTTCTTTTTACTCTTGCTGGGGCTGCAGTCCCCTGCGCATGCCGTTTTTGTTTCAGTCCCTACATGTAGGTATGGCGAAGCCAGGCACCCTTGCCCTGACATGTGGCTCTCTACCAGTAACCCTTCTGGACTTCGGGGCAAGAACCTAGATGCCATTGAGTTCGAGCCCGGGGTTCACTGCTTCAGTGAAACGCAGCTATCGGCTGTCACCTTGCCTCAAGTATCCTCGCAGTTGCGTCATCTCGGCCGTGTACAAGGCCGAAATCTAAGAATTGCTGCTGGAGCAGCCGCCCCTTTGCGGGCACATAGTGACGATTGGCCTGTGCAACCTGTGAAGATCCCATGGCCATCTGGCATCTGGGAAACCGCTAGGGTCCAAATTGCCCAAGTCTTGATAGAAGGCCTTCCTCTGCTCTGTGCCAACGTGTACGGGTACAGCCGAAGCCACCCACAGGCCACGGCTGCTACCGAAGCCTTGCTTGAGCCCATCACTCGAGAGATCGTCTTTGGACGCATTGGACCGCGGATGATCTGTGGCGACCTAAACGCTGAAGAAGACACTTTAGTCCAGACCCGGATTTGGCGACAGCAGGGATGGATTGAACTTCAGGAATTGGCCTGGCAAAGGTGGGGAACTGTTCCATCCCCGACATGCAAGGATGCAACTCGTCGGGACTACTTGTATTTGTCCCCTGAAGTTGCTGCAATTTGTGTTGATAGCTCAGTCCTCTCAGTCTTCCAGGAACACTCGACTCTTTCTGCCAAACTTCGAATTGCTTCCAATGCTGGTGCCATCAGGTATTGGCCGCGCCCAGCGACCATTCCGTGGTCGAGCATTGCATTGGATGGCCTACAGGGGCAGGCGCATGCAAGCCTTCCACAGGCTTTGGACACAACCCAAAGATATAAGATGCATGCGCAGTTGTTTGAGCAGAGCTTGAATGGTCATGTTGAGTGCCCTGGCAGACAGCTTCCATCCGCCTGTTACGGCAGGGCAAGGTTTGCTGAACCGGCAGTAAAGCATCTTGCTCTTAATGTTCCAAAAGCCAGCCGTGCTGGAGATGAGGTTTTGCAGTCCGACCTTTTGTCACTCGAAGTACGCCGCTGGTTTAAGCAATTACGTCGCCTGCAAAGTTTGTGGCATGCATTGAAGCAGCCTCGGTATGACTTTGCTGCTCTGGAATATCGAGGGAACCTTTGGCAGAGTGTGTTGAAGGCAACAGGCTTTCACAATGGATTTCGCGCTTGGTGGCCTCAGCGGCCTGTCCAAGGCCCTGGCAGTCCTGCCTTTATCCCGGACGGGGTTCCTACCCCGACAGTGGCACAGGCTATTTTTCTTGACTTCAGGGAAAATTTCCGGCGATTTGAAAGCTGGCACATTACTCAACATGGCAAAATTCTTTCAGCTCGGCATGATGCATCCAAGCAAAGATTGTACCAGGAGTTGCGTCAGGAAGGCGGCAAAGCGGCTGATGTGCTGGTCAATTCCCGTGCTTATGCGATTCTGGCTGTGGACTCCCAGGAACGCCTTGTACATGTTGACCAGCCTCTCGATTTTGCAGGCCACTCGGAATGGCGCATTGACGGCCAAGCTGTGCAAGTGTCGCAGATTTCTTCAGAGGTCTGCTGCGTTGAAGGTGATGTGCCCCTCCCCGCTGATGGAGAGCTTGAGCAGCTCCAATACGTTTCCTCCCCTCAGGAGGTTCATGCTGAATTTGTGCAATTTTGGACTCAACGTTGGAACAAACCTTGTTCTGATGATCAGTGGACTCGCATTTTGGACTTTGCCAGGGCATACCTGCCCCAAAAGCCTTTTGTTTTGTCGCCAATTTCGGTTACTCTGTGGCTGTCCACGTTGCGCAGGCTGAAGGTTCGAGCTGCCCGTGGCCCGGACGGTTATGCCCGGGATGATCTTCTTTGCATGCCAAGACCGCGTGTTGAGGAGCTTCTGAGTCTGCTTTGCGACATCGAGGGGGTCGCGCCCTGGCCTGCTCAGTTGTCGGTTGGGCTCGTTCATTTGCTGCACAAGCCTGGGGGCAATGACACCGTCAGCGGGTATAGGCCCATCTGTGTCTTTAGTATCGTGTATCGATGCTGGGCAAGCATACGGGCCAGGCAAATCCTGAGGTGGTTGAAGGAGTTCATTCCAGTTGGCTCACTTGGATTCATGCCTGAACATGAAACCACAGAGGCCTGGTATGTTCTAGAAGGGCTCATCGAGTGTGCACTCCAACATGCACAATCATTATCAGGCTATGGCACGGACCTTGTGCGAGCCTTCAACAACCTGCCTCGTCGCCCCCTGTTTGAGGCTGCCAAGCTTCTAGGCCTGCCGGAGGATGTGCTTTGTCCGTGGCAGTCGTTCGTGCGTGACACGCAGCGCCGTTTTGTCGTGCAAAATGCTGTCAGTGAGCCAGTCTTCTCCAGCTGTGGCTTCGCAGAGGGATGCCCTCTCAGTACGGTTGCCATGAGTGTCTGTAGTTTTATGTACCATGAGTACATGCAGGCCTTTGCCCCTTCTGTTGAAAGCCTTAGCTATGTCGATAACCTCCTCGGCATTGGCAGGGGTGCGTTTGACGTTGCTGTGGGGATGAACGCCACCCGATGTCTGTGTGAAGCCTTGGCCATGCAGTTGGACGACCGTAAAACGTATGCGTGGAGCACCGATGCATCACAACGAAAGGTGCTAAGGGCCATGAATCTTGTTGTGCTCGACTCGTGCCGGGAGCTTGGCGGCGTGGTTTCTTTTGGCCCCGCCACACGCAACCGACCCCTTGTGCAAAGATGTGAGCAGGTGAAGTCGCTCTGTGCCGCGCTGAAGAGGTCAAGGGCCTCCTGGTCTGCCAAACTTTCTACCCTGCCAGTCAAGTTCTGGAGCTTTGCTTTGCATGGGGTTTCCGCCTGCCCTGTCTCTGACACACTGTTGCAATCTCTGCGTACACAAGCTGTCCGGGCGCTGAAGGCAGCGCCTGCTGGATCCAGTCCAGCACTTCGGCTTTCTCTTGGCAAGCCAATGACGGCAGACCCAGGCTTTTTCCAGTGTTGGAATTGCCTTTCTACCCTTCGCAGACTTTGTCTCAAACAGCCGCGGATTTTGGAGCTGTGGTCACGGTTTCTCCTGAATTTCAATGGCAGACTCTTTCATGGCCCGTTTTCTAAGCTTCTCGTTGTTCTCAACAGTCTGGGGTGGCAAGTTCGAGGGCCGCCTATGTTTGTTGATGAGGAAAATCTCCTGCATGATCTGCTGGCTACTCCTTTGCCGGCACTACGCACCCTTGCCGAGAGGGCCTGGCTTCGAAGCATTGCATTCTCTCACGCTCATCGTCCCAGCATGCGTGGGCTTCACGGGATTGACCCCTGTCTCGTCCGGCTTGATCATAACAGCTTTTCGCATACTTCCAGTGCCCGGGTTGCAGCTCTACAGTGTGGGGCTCTCATGTTTGGCGAGGCTCAGGCAAAGTTTGACCTTACTCGTTCTGGTCTCTGCACGTTATGTGGAGTGCCCGATGATAAGGAACATAGGGTCCGCTTTTGTCCTCGTTTCTCCTCGGCTAGGCAGGGTCATGCGGCAGTGTTGGATCGATGGGATGAACTCCCATCCTGCCTCAAGTTGCATTTGCTGCCACCGGCCAATGCTGCGGCCTGCGAGCTTCGGGCTATGCTGCATCAAACGCCAGATGGCTCGCAAAGCTTTCTCTCATGTCCTTCACAAGGAGTCCAGCACCTGTTTACGGATGGAGCTTGCACTCGACCGATCACGCCTGAACTTGCAACTGCCGCTTGGGGGGTTGTTAATGCCACAGCTGGGCAGATTGTTGCCACCGACCATCTTCCCGGATGGTACCAGACAGCGCCGCGCGCTGAATTGTTTGGCATTCTTGCCTCGGTTTGCTGGGTTAGGTTTTTCTCCGTGGAGGGGGTTATTTGGGGTGACTCCCTGAGCGCAACGGAGGGGCTTCACCTGATGCTGGAGGGCCATGAGCCAGCAGCACACTGGGATAACCTCGACATCTGGCAACGCATTTGGGAACAAGTGGCAGAGTTGCTTCCGGGACAGCTCCGCGTTCAACATGTCACATCACATTTGGACCCGTCTTTGTGCAGCGATGCTTTCGAGGAATGGGTGGCTTATTGGAACCAAAGGGTTGATATTGTGGCGGGCATAACCAATGCCAACCGGACTTGGACGTTTCAGGATGAACTGAATCGCGGAACAAGGTGGGCTGCAGATACAGCGACATGTTTAAGGGCTCTCCGCGCTGTCTATCTGGGCATCGCAGAATCCACGACCAGTGAGGGAATGGTGCAGCCGTTTGAGCCGGAACATGAAGCTGTTGATGTTGAGCTGGACCACCCGGCGGGCCAGGTGCGAAATGAAACCTTTTCCGAGACTTTGCCACTGTTGTGGACTGAGGACTTTATACGAGGGATGACTTCTCAGCCTAGGGATCGCGCACGTAGGATCGCAGAGTTCATTGTGAGTCAGGATGAATGTTCTGACCTTGAATACTCTGTGTCATGGCTTGAGTTAGTTGCTATGATTTGGGGTGCCGATCCTTCTATTTGGTTTGTTTCAGGCCGTGATCATAGGGTACCGGTCCAGGCGCCCACTGTTGCAGAACAAATGCGACATGTGCGACGTATTGGACAGCAGTTTATTGATCATTTCGGTGCGAACCACTTGCGAGTGTACAGGCTTTCGGGGATACCTTGGGGTTTTGGTTTTCCTCTTGATGGGATTCGGATTGGGGCTTCGATTGACGGTTTGATGAGGGCTCGAAATCTCCTGAAAGATTTTGCGAGTGTTCGCTTTTGCCGAAGCGTTGCCGACCTAGAGCGGCGCTTTTGACCTCTCCAAATGGAGATTGCTATCGGACATTGGATAGGCGGGCTGCACTGCATCGCTGTGCAACTGCCAGAGAGCACGTGAGTGATAAACCATTAGGTCTTAACCCATAAACCCTAGACATCCCTAGACCCTGTATTCTGTACAGCCCTGAGACCACTTTTTGTTAAACACGTCCTAAACCCCTACTGACTAAATAGTAGCTTGCATTTTCTTTGCCGTTCTCCCTATATATTGCCCATACAACCCCTATTTACTTGGTTAAACCCTATGTATTCCGTATATAACCCGTATGTAATCGGTTAAACCTTGTATACTCCCTATATATCCCCTATATAACCCTTCTATAATTGGTTAAGCCCGTTATATTCCCTATATAACCCCTATAAAATTGGTTAAGCCCTATATATTCCCTATATAACCCCTATATAATTGGTTAAAGGTTCCAGGGAATGAGTGAGTAGCCAAGCCGGCAGGTCAGGGTATGGCACCCGCAGAGCCGTTCAGGCCTTAGCCATCTGAGGTGTAGTCAAGACTCCTTAAAGGGGGGGGGGGGTTATATAGGGTACTATTTATGTATATATACATATACATATATCGATATAGGCTGTAGGGCTTTATGGTCTAAACTCCATAAAAAGGGGGAATATAGGGGGCTATATAGGGGAGTATTCTTGGGCTTGTATGCGGTTTAGGGTTGAGGGTTTTATGGTCTAAACTCCTTAAAGTGGGGAGCATAGGGGATTATATAGGGGAGTATTATTAGGCTTATATAGGGTCTAGGGTTTTATGGTCTAAACTCCTTAAAGAGGGGTTATATAGGAGATTATATAGGGCAGTATTATGGGGCTTACGTAGGGGGACACTAGGAGTTTAGACTATAGCGGCTCTGAGTTAGTACAAGAGAGCTTCTCAAATTGTAAAGGGATGTTGGAAGGCCGGCTTGCTCAGGCTTAGCTGGGAATTGTGCAGCGGGTTGTATCAACTATTGCAGGACTCATGCTCGGGCATGATAACTACCGCGGGAATCTATTTCCGCATGCCCTACAGTTGAACTATGCTTCAAGTAGAGCCTGCGGGATTGAACAGGATCTCCATTGTGCGGATGTTTAGGGCACATGGCGCATGGTCAAGTTTTCAGCCTTGACTTGTTCCGGTGTTGAACACATCCACGCTACCGTCTCTTTGCAACAACGGCGCAGGTAGATTTCCAACTTCCAACCGGCAATCATTGAGCCGCATATTGTTCAGCTGGTAGGCTTTACACTTGTTGCAATCAATATCACTTAGAGGCTGCAAGGCTCAGGAAATGCCTACAACGTCCGACCACCAAGACCTCAATTTTTGTCGAGAAGGATGAAAGAGGTCTTTGAATTTGTGAACAGCGTGAGGGGTGTGGCTTATTGCCATGGTATTCCCAAAGCTTGCGATCATTTGAAGTAAGTGCGCAAGCGAGAGCCTAATGACCCCCTCCCCTAAACCTTCTTAAGCCCTAAGCCCTAAGCCTGAACTTGCTGAGGATGGTCTTGGTGAAGATCCCCGATGGCAAAAGCAAGGACATGGGCATGAAGTCCAAGGCAGGGAACTATGTTGCCTGACCCCAGTACATGAGACAGAATACGGAATAGTTCCAGATCCGTTTTGGAATTATGCTGTAGCGTGTCTCAAGCAGAGCTGAAAAGTATACTGGTAATTATTTGGGCCCCCGCATTATGTCAATATCAACCTACAGCATCCCCATGTAATCACTAGACTAGACATTTTCCGTGACGCCCGAAAGAATTCTGGGGGATCCAATACTCCCGCAATTCTCAACCTATTGCATTTCTGCGTTGAGTTATAGCTGTCTTCTGTTTGGTATTCATGGTTCCCTGTGACCCTAAACCCCAAACCCTTAACCCAAAAATCCTGTGGGTGACCCTAAACCCCAAAGCCAGGAAACTAAACCAGGTGTCAGGCTCTCCGTTTCAGACCACTGTCTCCCTAGGCCCAACCGACGAATCAAGGGTTCAGGGTTTAGGGTTTCAGGGTTTAGGTTGGTCTTCCGTAGGTGTTGACTTCAGGTCATGTCCCATCATGGGATTGAAGCACTGCGAAGCTTCAATCTACAAGTGAGTTGTGGAGATAGGTTGACACGACACCGGTGCTTAGAGGCGATTTGAAAGCGTTCGATGAAAGCTGAGCAGAATATGTTTCAAGCTGCCCCATGCAATGAAGAGATCAGCATAGAAAGGAATCGCCTCAAACGGCAATTGTGCCTTCTATGGCTACAGCATCAACGCCTGCAAATCCGATAACAGGCCTACACCCCAAAACTTTGAAGTTCTCCGGTAGCCCAACCTTCCTCATTCAGGAATGCACTTTAGATCATATCGGGGATCCTAGCATCATTCAGGGCATATTCCTTCCTTCGTCAAGGGGTATTGGGCGTTTTTTTTTTCCATGGTCGTTTTGGTAGTCTTCATACACACGGGGACCCCCGTATCGACCCCAAATGCTACAATCCTTATTGTTAGAAAGACTACCAAAAGAGGTACCCCTAATTGTGGGAAACCCAAATCCCTAGTTTTAATTCCTATATAATCCCCACATAATCCCTATATGATCCCCCTACATCCTCTTTGAAGGGTAGGGGAAACCGCCAATTGAAGGTGGACCCCTCCAAGCTGCAGGGCGCAGCTGGGCAGAAAGGTCGGCTCCCTTGTCTTTAGGGCTTAAATCCCAAAACAAAATTACCTGGACCCTGAAAGGCAGTTCTTTTTCGCATTTGGTATTTGTTTTGGTTAGGCTTCTTGTGAGGACCCCCAGAAGGTACGACATTGGAGCATCTAGCTAAGGTCTTGTGCAGTTCTGGGCTATGACAGGCTTAGGTCTGTCTGTTCTGGATTTTGGGGAAGTGGATGTTGCTTAAATGAGGACCCGGGGATCATCAGTCTTTCGAAGATTTGCATGACACTGAAGGCAAAGACGCATTTTCAGCTCCGTGCAGCATGGAGCTCAAAATCATACATACTGAATGTACATGCTTACGTGCACAAGTTGATGCAAGACTGGCCACAGAGGAGGTCGTAAGCCCTGGTGGCCTCAAGGCATCAACTTCCTAGGATAAAGGGCCGTGTATGGTCCAACTAAAGACTTTGGGTTTAACGGGGTGAAGTGACAGGCAAGTAGAGAGGCACGAGTTGAGTGAGCAGGTGGCCAACGGGAAGTTTGGTAGGGCGGGATTTGTACCGTTCAAATGTTGCTTCATGCATGCTTCTCAAGCGCTCTACGCTGCTATAGGGTTTCTGGTGTCTCACAGCTCTATAGCAAAGAGTCGAATGTATGGCCTGTGCTGGCATGTGCCAAGAACATCCTGATCTTTGGGGGGGAATCCTGGTGCTTAGGCTTCTTGTTGTTCTCAATGGTATATACCAGGGTGTGGATTCAAAGTTCTCTGCCAATGCGGTTTCAAGTAGCATCCGGAGACGACCCCTAATGCATTGGTGGGGATCGTTTTGCAAGCAGGAGACAAGGCCGAGAAGGACAATGCCGGAGGCAGGCAGTGCTGGTATTGCTTGCATGCGCACACCTCACCTGCCCGCTTGGGGTAATGATCGACTGTGCGGACAATTTCTGCAAAATGCTGTCTTTGGGTCCCTAGTGCCTCTGATAAAAAGCCGCAGGTGCCGCACTACAGACCCCGAACCTGGTCAGAGTACTGACCCTCTATATAGCCATCAGGAGATTGAAGCCAGTATGCTCAACCTGGACCCTGGATGTCCTACCTTCTTGTGGAACAGAGGACAAAACGCAAAGAAGGAAGGATATCCAGGTTGCGAATGGGCAACATAGTCTTCACATCCGGAACTTCCCTAGTCCCTGATCCAGTCACCTTTAGTCTGAGGAATGATTGCTTGTGAATAGGGAATGGGTCCCTAAGTAGTCCTTACAATTCCTCATCGTAGCCCCCGCGAAAAGGCCTCACAAGCCTTAGACCCTGAACCTTAGATGCTATAACAGCGTCGATCTTCGCCTCCTTATCCAAGTTGGGGAAGCCTTCATGTCCAGTCATCGCAGGCGCAGCTTCCCCGAAAGTGAACGGGGACGCCAAGGCCTTCTCTACTTTGACCTTTACGGGTTAGGGTTCACGCTACTATGGTACAAGGCATAGGGAAACGGCTTGAGTTCTTGGGGCTTAGGGTTGAGGCCGTCGCGATTTTCCGGCCCAGGATCTAAAGGTGTTGGGATTATGTATGGGACTACTCTAGCAGGGGGTGATACTAGGAGTTTAGAGTTTAGACTATGGCTCACTTGGAAGGCCGACTCAGGAAGGCCCTTCCCCGGTCTTTCAGAGCAGATGATCCTAGAAATGCCCTTGATGCTACTGGGAAGGTTTCAAAATCCCACAACGAAGACCCCGCAAAATCGCTGTAGAAGCCTGCAATATGGCACGAAGGCTGAAGCTGTCAAGGGCAAAATCAGTTAAAGTGACCAGCATGATGCTGCAAACATTTTGAACATGTGGTAGTTTCCGCAAATGAGGCCAAAAAAGGCGCAATATGGTATACTCCTTCTTGTAGGTGCTCCCAAAAGGGCCCTTATTTTCTGAAAACCACCATTAGGCTGGCAAAGAGCAGAAGGGCGAAAAGGGCGACAAAGCGGAGAAAGGGGAGAAAGGTGGCAAGGCGTGGCATGGATGTAGCTCGTCGCTTATCCAACTTGCGGTATGTTATGTGGGTGACATCACTACGTCTACTGCTGGCCGTGAAGGTTGTGTTCTTGAGGACCATGCGCGTTGCCGGCCCGGTAGTGCTGAAGTGCCATCATCTGGATAGCGATTTGTTTATCGGCATGGCTACCACAATCCTTGTAAGCATCACGGTCACTGTACTGCTATCGCTGCTTCGACAGGATAGTTGTTCTTCATTAGTAAGGGGTTTGAGCCTGAGGATCACCACAGGAGACAGCAAAGGATGTGCTAGAATTATGGGATTCGCCCCCTTTGTCCAGCTTATTGAGCACCAGCAGCTGGGGGAGGATTATTTTCGGGGGCTTGGGATAAAAAAGCGCAGCACCGCTGTCAGTACTTCTTGTCCCTAAGTACTGCGCCAAGGAACCTTAGGACTGCAGGAGCATTGGAGATTTAAAAGCGAAGGCTCTTGTTGCTAGCTAGATTGCCACCGGTTGATGCCTCAAGCCTAAACTGCAGTGTCTAAACTCCGAACCCACAGGCCAAGCAAGACTGACCTATCATGATTTAAGGTAGGTTCCTTCATTCAGACGCGTTGGGCTTTCGTGAAAAGCCTGACATCCGCCCCTGTTCTGGGTTGCTGTTACGGAACTTGAATTGAGTTACCATAATTGGTATGTGTAGTACTTACGACTTCCCCAATATGGTAACTGGTAACTTAAGTCAAGTCAAGTCCCTTGAATCCCTATATTCCCCCAGTTCCAAGTCCCTTGAATCCCTATATTCCCCCAGTTCCATTTCATTGTTCATGTTCTTTTCCATTTGATTCTCCATTTACAGAGGGATAATATACCCTAAACCCTAAACCCTTGTTCGCTGCAAGGCCAAAGCCAAGGCAGCACCTGGAAAGGCTGCAGACCGGCCTCTCGAAGACTTCTCAAGGCTGCCACCACGGTTCAGGGATTTAGGGTTTAAGGTTTAGGGTTGAGGGTTTAGGGGGATGCAGAAGAATCGTTTGACGATGAGGGCAGGTGTGTGATCGGCGTTTGCAGTTTACCCATCAACATGAGACTGTTGTGGGGCAAGATGTTGGCAGTACACAGTCCAGAGATCTAGTTCTCTGCTTTCTTCCGAAGACGGACGGGTCTGCTTACTAGCCGTAAATTCTCAACCTCCTGCGGGAGGCTTCAGCAGTTGCGTTTGCACAATGTCGGGTGTGCATCTTGCTTTGCTTGGTAAACCACATGGTCTGAGAATCTTGCTTGAGACCCTTGCTTGTAGGAGAATATCGTAGATCACACTAGAATATAGTATTATAGTATATTATTTTATAACACAGTATAACATACTATATTATATTGTATTACATACATTGTATTTCAGTATGGCACCTTGGGGGACAGTGCACCATGCCTTGGGGCTGGGGCATTCCTTGCTAAGCTGCACCGCTTGCATGACAGTCCTTGAACGCGCAGGCTCAACATCAAGGTGGGGAAGATCACGAAGGCATGAGGGGATCAACTTACCTTTGGTTAGCTAGGAGTGAAGGAATGGATCCTTCTGGTAGTCCCTGTATAACCCATGGTAGTAGTTTCCAATTTTTTCCATTCCTTCACTCCCAGAAGGGTAGGTCAAGAGCCTTACCCCGCAAACTTGGTCTCAAAACGGACACACTTCGCAGTAGGGCGTCTTCTTTGATATGGGGGTTGCGCTAAAGGTCCTTGCAAAGAAGGCCATTGGGAATGCAATTCCTTCAAAGGGGATGCTAACCAAACAGGGAGCCTGCCTTATGGCCATTTTGGGGACAGGTATTTTGAACAACTACCTATAGGCCTCCTGAACAGATCAGCACACTCTGGACCCTAACGAGCCAGCCGCTGTGGCTGTGATGTTCGGAAGGCAAAAGCCGAAGGCCCCAGACCATACCAAAGTAGGGGATGGGGGGGGGTACACGAAGCCCCAAACCCTAAGACCTACCTAGGAGATTTTTGGGGATCCCCTCAAGGAGGCCTCAGGAGCCTTTAGAAGGATCCATTGCTCTATATCCAAAGCACTTGCATGAATGCTGGGTTCAATTGTCCTGGATTTGAGGTTTGCGGTCGAGGGCATCTAGTAGCATCCTATGAGTTTAGCGTTGGGCCCTAGTAGGGATACAAGGCTTACAAGTCCTGTTTCCATCTCCCGACACCTGCCACACCACTTGCTGGCGATAACGCATGTTGTACCATGCCATCAGGAGGTGACTAAGCAACAACTCTAAACCCTGATACGAATCCCTGAACAGACCTTACTTCCTGAAACTAGATGTTAGACCAACACTAAACTCTAAACCCTATATAACCCAATATCCACTATTCCAATACAACCCCCTAAACCCCAAAACCCAAAACCCCTCAACCCTAAACCCCTTAATCCTAAACCCCAAAAGCCCCTAAACCCCCAACAACCCTAACTCTTTGCGGTTGCTTTGTGGAAGGTGTGGCCCCATCCTGAGGCCGGTGGCTCGGTGGGTCTAGGAATCAGGCTCTCGGCAAGGCTGAGGAGTTGAGTTTGAGCTTCTAGGGTTTAGGGATTAGGGATTATAGGGGTTTCGGTTTAGGGTTTTGGGTTTAGGGCTTAGATTCTCAGTTTTGGGTGTAGGGTTTTTGGTTGGGTTTGGGGTTTTGGGCTTTGAGTTTAAAGTTCATAGTAGGACATACAATATGCTGAGTTGTCAATGGGGGCGCTTACCTTAGGTGATGAGAATGGCTGCGGTAGAACTAGCGTTGTAGACGCAGTGTTCATTGTAAGCTCATTGCTACATGCTTTCCCATTATCTAGGGAACGCATCGGGCGCCCTATGTTTTTTTTTGCAAATTTTGACTGCTTCTTGGGAAGTGGGGAGATATTGCAAAAACTCGCGGTTGCTTAAAGATCTTTCGGTGCCTACTTGGGATTTGAGGCCAAGGTGGCGATTTCACAGGATTCTGACTTGAAGCTCTTAACGCACGCCGTAAACACTACAGTCCAAGCTAAGCTGAGAAGCCCGAACCCTACAACCAAGCCCTAAGTATCTTCTCATCCCACCGCGCAGTAAAACCTTCATTCCGATCCCATAACCTTGCCAGATCTAGCACCCAACCATAAGCCCCACGCCTGGAATACTTTCTTAAAAGTCACATATAGGACCGTTTATGAAGGGCATGTTCTTACTGCAATGAGATTATTGGGGACTATCGAGCCTACATGAATCCTAAAGCCTACACCTTCAATGCTGCACCCTAGGCTCTCCAACCTCTAAACCTTGAGGTACTGCCCCCACTCTGTAACAGCTGGGTAATCCTTACAATACACGTATAATATATCGCCCTTAATTTTGCCCTTAGTATAGACTGTTAATTACAGGGTGGGGGGCAGTACCCAATCTAAACCCTAAACCCTAGATAGTAGCTTCCATTTTCTTTTACATTATCCCTACAGGACCCAATCTAAACCCTAAACCCATCTAAACCCTAAATGGTAGCTTCCATTTTCTTTTCCAATACTCCTAGATGAGGGAAAACCTATACCCTACACCCCTCCTCAGACAGGCTGAGAAGCCATTACCCCCATATAACCCCAATATTATAAACCCTAAACTCTAAACCCTGAACCCCAAACCCTAAACCCTAATCCTACACCCTTCCTCGAGCAGGCTGAGAAGCTGTGGTGCGAGGAGATTGACCTCGGCGAGGGGCAGCCTCGGCAGGTCCTTCTCTCAGCGACCTTACAGTTTTTAGGGTTTAGGGTTCAGGATTTAGGGTTTAGGGTTTAGGGGTTTAGGGTTTAGGATTAAGGGTTTGCGGCTTAGGGTTTAGGGTTTTTAGAATTTAGCGGGTTTACTGTTCAGGAACTTAAATTAAGTTACCGTATTTGGGAAACCCTATTATTTACTAGATATACCCAGATTATGGTAACTTAATCTAGGTTCCTCAACGGCAAGCCAGTTTACGGTTGACTGGGTCTACATTAGGAATTGCGAAAACTTTTTGGAGTATGAGTTCCGTTTTTTTAAGAATTGCAGAAAGGAATCTCAAGCTACACAAGCCTGATTTCCGTTGATCTTCAAAGGGAGTATGGACATAGCAAAGGAGATTTGGTATTAGGTTTTCAGCTCAGGCCATTGGAATGAGGGTCAGGGGTCTAGGATCAGGATTTTTGGACCCTAAACCCTGAACCCTAAACCTTGAAGCCTAAACCCTAAACCCTGAAGCCTGAACCTTCAACCCTAAATGTGGATTTTCAATGTAATGTGCTTCCGGGTTCGTCTGCCAGCCATCAGGATCCTGAATTCTTGCTTTGTTTTCCCATGCAGTTGGTGAACTACGGTTTCCGGGTTGCTGTTGAGGAGCTTAGATTAAGTTACCAGGATGGGTATTTATAGTACGTAACAGGGCTTCCCAAATATAGTAACTTGAGTTAAGTTCCTGAACGGCAACCCAGATTTTCATGACCCCCCGAAATCGCAGTCGCTGTCTCATGCTTCCGCACGCCAGCCCTGCTATCTTGGACCTTTACAATTCAGGCCTGCAGCTTTTGATCATCCTGGTCACCCTCTGACCCCTAGTACATTATATGACTGTGCTTCATTAAGGGGCCTGTTTGTAGCTTTGCCTTTGCTGCTTCTCGAGCTTTGAGTATGAAACTCTCATCTCATCTGCCCCTCAGACCGCTCATACAGATCCCGGTTGCAGATTATAGGCTGGCTGGGTGTCAGGTTTCGCCTCTGTGGCTAGAAAGCCTTCTTTGTTACTGGCTTCATGCGCTTTGTGCTGAGATTGCCTCTGGTCTTCGTGCTCACGTGAAACAGGAGGACTGAGTCGGTTGGCTTATCAAATTTGGCATGTGGCCTGGGCTCCGGATTCTGGGTGCACTTCAGATCGGGGTGTCCAAAGGCAGGCTCATACTTTGTATCCGTCAGGTCAGCAGTGGTGCGGGGCAGTTGGAAGGCCTCCACATTGTTTTGCGAGCTGATGCCATCTGGCAGCTAGCAAAGAAGGCGATAGCAGATGTCAACGTGAAGACAGATGCTCATGGGGCTGATATCTTAAAATCGATAAAAGGCTATTGCCTATGCCACGTCTCGTAACCCTCGAAGGAATTGTGATTCTTTCAGAGCGTCATCTTTGCCCAAATAAAACCCCTAATTCGTTGTGACCAGATTTACTAAAGGCAGATTTGCTCCTCAGCGGAGGCGACTGACGCAGTCTTGAAGCATTTCCCTCCCCAAGGGAGGCAAGTTCACATCAAATTTATATTGTTATTTGCAATCTGTTGCCTTTAATTGTCAAAGCCAAGTGCATAGCAATGCATGGTGGAGAAATATTGACAATGCATGATAAAACCATGCGATCAGTAACGGAATGAAAGCTACTCTATACCTTCATGTCTACATGCTATGCCATGTGAAGTATAGTCTAAACTTCTTAGGAGGCTGGCTATATCGGGGATTGTGTAGGTGACGGGCTCAATTCAGGGGGATATGCGGAGATTAGACTACAGCTCCTATAATCCCCTTTTATCATCTCAGTTTCCATTTCATTGTCCATTTTCTTTTCCATTTGATTCTCCATTATATGTCCCTAGAAATCCCAATATCCCCCCCTAAAGGTACCCCTAACTTTGGGGAAATCCTAAATCCTATGTAGGCTTAGCCGCGCAACCGTGCAACGCCCCGGAGCCCTGGAGCTTCGAAGAGGGAAACCAATTCTTTAAAAAGGAAGAAACTAGGAGCCCCAAACAGGAAACCCTAAGAAGATAGTAGGATACTAAGAAGCTAGGGAACCTGGTAGGTACATAGGAACCTCAGGAATATAGTAGGAATATGCTACGTGCGAATCTAAGGACCCTGGTAGGTATATTCCTATTACATATCTTTGCGGTGCAGGAAATGCAGGGTGCCATGGTGGTCGTCCTTGCGAACCTCAAGCCCAGGAGTCCTGCGTTTCCTACTTTAGGGTTTAGGGTTTAGGGTTTAGGATTGGTAGGGAAGGGGGAACTGGAGCCCCTATAGTAGCAACTACATAATTCCAGATAATATACTGTAGTAGTTTCTTGTAGCATCTACATAGTTCCTGATGATACTGTAGTAGTTTCCATCCATGTTCTTTTCCATTTCTTCATTCCCCTACGAAGAACCAGCAAATTTGGCCTCGGAGAGTCGCCTGCGCCGGGGTTCTTGAATTCCCAAGCGGTAGCAAGATTTTTATGTTGCTACCATCCCACATAAAAAAAGGATGCTGTTACTGGACGCTGCAGCCACGAAAGCATTGTTCCAACATGCAGCCGTGTCAGGTTATTTGGCTTCAGGATATTCAACAGCTTGGTGTAAGCTTTAGCGCCATGGATGCAGTGCAAGTAGTCCAGAGCCCAGACACATGTATGTGGAATTATGTGGCATGGTTTGATCAGTCCCCATGTTCAGGTTGGGCGTTTAGGCCTGTGTCTTCTCAGTCGGGATCTTGCAAAATGACCTGACACTAAGCGTGATGTCAGGAATCTCTGAAAATGGGGGGTGAGAACTCAGCAGCTGTCGGCTGGCGGGTAGCTCCAACAGCCCGAAGTTCAAAGCACAACGACCCAGCCGATAGCCATTGCCTGACCTGGGGGATCATAATGTGTATTCACATGTAGGTTTCCGTCGTAGTAGGATCATCACCTCTAGCTACATTCGTATCAAGTACGTTCACTTGGAACTGCCCATGGACTTCCGGTTAGCCCGAATCCTGGGCTCCAGACATTCCAATTATGATTCCGTCCACGCCTCCAAGCGGAGCCCTTTGAAGGGAACCCCAACTCCGCAAAAACTCTATTCTGAAAAACCTTAGCCTGTAGCTCCAAACCCTAAACCCCAAGTCCCAAAACCCAGGCCCTTCACCTTAAACCCAAGCCCTGAACCCCCAAGACATTCAACCAAGCCCTCAAGTAGGAAATATGGGAATATAGTCCCTAAATCATTCCAATATGATATATTCCCTTATTCCCTACTACAACCCCAATATAGACCTTGTTGTAATATCGTATTTTCTATTTTCGTTGCCATTATTCCCTCAGAAACAGTAAATAAAATCTAAACCCTCGACCCTAAAACCCCAAACCCTAAAGCCTCAAGCCCTTGTAAAACTTACCATTACTTGAGGTTTTCGATACCAAAAATGACCCCACCAAAACCCTAAATATTGGTAAACAAAAAAAGACTGAAACCCCTAAGCCCTAAACCCTAAACCCTAAACCCCCAAACCCTAAACCCTAAACCCTAAACCTAGAAGCCTCGGAAAAAAGGAAGCTGGTCGGCTTCGAGTCCCAGGGCATGGTCCTGTGCGCCACCAGCAAGGAGGGCAAAGTAGAGCCAGGGCCCTAGGGGTTTAGGGTTGAGGTGTTTAGGGGTTTAGGGTTCAGGGGTTTTGGGTTAGGGGTTTAGGGTTTAGGGGTGTTTAGGGGTTTAGGGGTTTAAAGGTTCAGGGGTTTAGGGTTTAGGGGTTTAGGGATTTAGGGGTTTAGGGATTTAGGGGTTTAGGGTTCAGGGGTTTAGGGTTTCGGGATTTAGGGTTTAGGGTTCTACCAGCAAGTCGTTTTGTTGTTCCCCAACCGGCGCGTGATGGAGTATGTAGATACTACAATGTCAAACACTTTAAGAGTATTATTCTTCATAGCAGAGAATTAATTCTAGCATGAGAATGTGGAAAAGAGCAGGTTTTAGTAGAGAGTAGTAAAATTATGGCACAAAATAGGGTGCTATAGCATAGGCATGCTCTTGCTACGATGCCTTCTTTCCCTGAGCATTTGTAATGCGCATGTTTGAAACATCTTCCTAAGCGTGGCGCCAATCGCTTCCTCTCAACTAGAATCTAGAAACACAAGCTTCGCCAGAACATTGCAGAGCGACCTGCGCCCATTTGTTTCCTTCGCAGTTTCATGAGCATCAAGGAGAGTGGAGCATCAACAAACAGGTGGTGATCAATTTTGTGAGCGTGGTACGGTGGTTTGTCCTGCTCAAACATGGCTATCTTCAGGCGACCTAGTTCCCATTCCAATCATCCCTAACCCCTGAGCCTTAAACGCCTCAATCCGTTGTCTGCATCTCTCTCTAATCCCAGCCTGAAGAACTCCCTCCACGTCATGGGAAGTAGCCGGATGATCATTTTCGATTTGTGCAACGAGTCTGGCTTACCCATTGTGTACTGCAGGAGCAGCGTTTCCTATTCCAGAGCGTGAGTTCTTGCAGCAAACGGCTCTTGACAACCATTTCTTGTGTTGGGTTCCTGTACGCCGGGACAGCATGAAAGCATGATCTGATTTCTTCTGGAGCAATTGGGTGATACTGACAATTCTAAATGACCCTAAGTGCCCTAGATATTGCGGTTTGTTGTATTGTTATTGTATTCTTGTTGTATTCTATAAAGCTCAGGTCGTGAAGGGTCGTTGACATCGACATTACGGATGTTCCTCTTCTGAGGCTGATGCAGCCGCCTGCCTCTGCGAAGGTTGGCGAGCGCGTCGTAGCCGAAGGCTGCCACCAGGGATTTTTGCCTAAGTGTTCTTAGGTTTAGGGTTCCTGTCTTTCCGAAAAATCTGTGGGACTTAAGGCTTTGAACTGCATGGGGTTTATAGACCAGACGAATACTTTGAGCCCATGTGGCCCCGGGATGGCTTAGCAGTCATTTTGTTCTTAGCAGGCTTTGGAAAGTCTGTCGTGAGAATCGTGGCAAAGTTGTTTGAGGTTTGTCGGCAACAGAGTGGTTTATAAAACACGTGGGTCTCTTAGTCGGGAGTTCAGCCAAACATTCTAGAGCCCTCAACCTCCATTCCCAAAACTTGAACAACAATGCTGTGAACGTATGCGATTGTAGGTAGAGGTACGGCGTGAGGAGCTAGACATAGCTGCAAAGTAGGTTAAAACTTTCACACAACCCAATACAGGTTACATCTCAGGTTTTTGGGGGTCAAGACTTTAGTGTTAAGGGTCTAGGGTTCAAGGTAGAGTCCAGACTTACCCCATCTGAACCAAACTCTTGGAAATGGCGCAACCTCTGGGATTCCCCATTGCCTACAAAATTCAGGCCAGCTAGTCCTTAATCACACGGGCTAGCCGCAACCGACCCCAACTTTCCCCTTAAATCCCAAATCCCTAAAGCCTTAAGAACCTAAAACCTAAGTTCAGGACCCAAAAGCCCTGTAGCCCTGAATCTTTAAGACCATAACTGATTGTCCCTAACCTAGCTCAGGACCCAACAGTGCCCTGTAGCCCTGAATCTCTAAAACCTCAACTGCTTATCCCCGACTCTTATAGTAGCTTCCATTCCATTATCCCGAAATAACCCCTACATTTTCTTTTCCATCGTCCCTATATAACCCCTATATAACCCTTATCTACCCATTGTGGTACTAACCCTTTTCAGGTGTAGAGATGCTGGATCCAGACGAGAAGCTGAACGAGAAGCACAAGCCCCAGCCCACGTTCATGAAGCAAATCTTAGTGTTTAGGGTTTTAGGTTTAGGGTTTAGATTGAGCAGGAGATCTGGGTCCTTTTAAGGGGATGATAAGGGATATCCCTTTGAAGGGGGTTATGGGGGATATCCTTGTAAAGGGGGTTATAGGAGATATCTTGGATTATAAAGGCTTTATGAGGATGGAAATTCAACTGGCAAATGAAATGGGTCTTAGGACCCAGAAGAGGAATTGGAGAAATCAGGATATCCTACTCTGTAAATTCTTGTTTAATCTATTTGGTTGCATACACCCTAAACCCTAAGCATCAGAACTAAGGGTGCCTCGTTTATGCCTCCCAGAACTATTTCCCTCATTATGGGACCCCCAAGAGAGGCCCTTAATTGTTGTCCCTTTGAGGTAGCTCTTAAAACTAGCCCTCATGGAAACCTTCCAGGTGGGTGGTTCTCAGGTGGGTACCCTCTAAGGAGGCCTATATAGACCTCATACGGCCCCATTACCCTACATGAGCCTTGGACGGGTGTACCCACTCGGTAATTACCCACCTGAGCAGTTCCTTGAAAAAGGCCATCGGTTTTCCCATACAGCCCTAAATTTTCATTTCCCACCTCCACAACACAACCGCTTTTGTTTGCCGCCTTCTTGCTTTTGTTGACAGTGTTGCCGTGCTCCCTGCTCTTGATAGAGGATGGGCTCAAATAGTGCCTACACAATCCCTGAGCGGGACCCTTAGTCCCTAAGCCCCCAAGCCTTAGGCCCTAACCGTCCTGACTCCTATGTAAATCTCCACTACTTGATCTATGTAAGCCCTAGCTCATATAATCCTATAGTCCCCCTTAAGTAGATAGAATATGGCTGCGGTTATATTATAATAGGATCCCCACACATCCCATATTCTATCTACCTTAGGGTGACTATAGGCCCTGTCTGCCCAGTGCCCAGGACCGGTAAGGCACCTTGGGATGTGCTGAGACCCGGCTGCGTCACCAACGACGGCAGCCGGCTCAGCTTCAGCTCATCAGAGCGAACCCCATAAGCTCCCCATGCTTACTGGTTGCGAGCAGGGAATATATGGAAAATCCCTATATACGGTAACCCCTATCAAACATTCCCTACTAGCCCCCCAGTATGATATACCCTGCTCATCCCTTGTCCATGATACTAAACACCCTGGTTGGGGACATGTGTTCTTCGTCGCAGGGGTTTAGAGGCAGGAAGACTGATGTGGCTTGAACAAGCGTGACAGGACTTGAGTGCAATCTTTCAGTGGATGATGCCAACTTTGAGGGCTTTGTCCAATCAATTTTGAAAGAGGGATGGGCTTGGTGTTGAGATGTGTTGAGGGAACAGGCCTTGGCCCAGCACGCAGGGTCTATGAGCTATAGTCTAAACTCCTTGAAGGGGGTTATATCGTGGATTATATGGGGGACCATTGTAAGGGCGTCTTAAGGGGATACTAGGAGTTTAGACCATGGCTCTTATGCCAATGACTAACGGCTTTGGCCTTGATCGATCCCAGACAGTGCCAGTCAAAGGATTAAAAGATTATTTCTCTTTACCCCTACATACCCCTTTATCATCCCTGGGCCCCAAACCCTAAATAGTAGTTTCCATGTTCTTGTCCATTATCCCTATATAAACCCAATAATGTACCCCATGTTCCATCTACTTAAGGGGCCCTAAACCCTAAACCCTATATAACCCATTATAGTAGTTTCCATTTTCTTTTCCATTATCCCAGTGTAACCCGATATATCCCTGCATCCCTGAGCTTCCCCACCGGAGACCGTAGCTTCCGGTATGTCCCTCGTGCGGACGTCATGACCCAATCCTCGGGTTTGGGGTTTAGGGTTTTGGGTTTAGGGTTATGAATACCAGAAGGAGGTTTTAACCCTAAAGCTGTGAAAGGTTGATGGGGTCAAGGTTAGTTCTTTCGTCCGCCCGCCCATGCCCAAAGCATGGAAGCCCTACTTCCCACGGACGCCGCTGTGCCGCTATAGACCCCAAAGCCCTAAACCCGAAACCCACATCCTTATCCTTGGAGATCTTCTCCGTGCCTGAGGCAAGCAGGGCACTTACAACGGCGCGCTGTGGATGACCTCTGCCGGACGCTGAGATTCATGATGAGATCCGATAAGGAATGATGGGTTTCATAGTTCTGCTGAACGCGTGGATTTTGTCATGGTTCGGTTCCAGTGAAAGGATGAACAACAACAATGAGGGTGGCTGCCCCAACCTGTGACCTTTGCAAGCCCATAATACACGAACTCTAAAGCAAATCAAATGAAGCCCCCAGAAGTTCATAGCCGGACAGATTCTCCGTTGGGCCTTCAAATTCCCTCATATCTGTTATATTATAATATAGTAGTTTCCATCTTCTGTTCCATTATTCCCTATATAACCCCAATATAACCCCAATATATACCTTATAATCTCCTATATAGCCCATTGCCTAAGATACTTTTATTCCTGTGCTTTTTTTTGTCCACTCAAATCTCCAACCTGAGAAAACTTAGTCTCTCGGCTAAGGCAGGGCCGGTCACATGCAAGTCCGTCACTGGCGGGTCTGGATCCAAGTGCATGCTTGATATAAGCTGGTTCACACAAATCACGGGCTCCTGTCGTGCCTCTACAGAATCACCACTGCGCTTCTTTTAGTGTATGCTTGGGAGATCCTACGCACATTTTGGAGAGAACGTGTGCCCAAGCCATTCCCTTCCCTTCTGTCGATTTATTGCTTGAATGTTGGCCTTCAAAAGGCTTGCTTTTTGCAACTCTCTTGCTGAGGACGATATCCTGAGCTGAGAAGCGTTCTCAGCGCTTATTTTTCGTTTCCTGCGACTTCCCACACACTGGGAGACACTGGGAGAACTCAAAGAGAAGCTCCATGGCAGGGTTCCGGCATCTACTATCTACTACTGGGGCCTATAGATACTTATCAGAAAAAACTGAGGTCTACTAGATGTTCCTTTTACCATAATATAGAACAAGGAGTCTAGGACCATCATGTCAGGATTTGTGTAAGCTACTACATGACATCAAATCACCTTATCGCTGTTTTCAATTTCAAGCTTGTGTGGCTTGGGTCAAGAGTCACTTGGGGACAGAGGTTCTCCTCCCCGAGCTGACATGGAAGTCCCAAAAGAGGCCAACAAGAACTACTCCTCTTAAGGCTGATGTATATGATTTTGAATCTTGGTTTGGAGGAGGGTGCAGATTGAAAATCATATCCCTACGCAATGAAGTTCCCTAACCCACCCAAACCTTCCCTTTTTGCTCGCTAGTTGTAAGCTCCAATCCTCAAAGCCCGAAGCCCTGAAAAGCCTGGACGCTGGAAAATCCCTAAAGCAGGGCTCGCGGAGTCCTCCCAGGAGTTTGGGATTGGACAGCTTTCCTAGACAGCGAGGGGTTTCTGGTGGAGTTGAGTGCAGCTCACCCAACCTTTCTCTTCGGACTACTTGGAGGTCGCAGCTCTGTAGGGTTTGTTTAGAGCACAAACGTGTGTAGAGACATCTGCTGTTTTCTGATGATAGAGTTGCAGTTTAAGCACAGCATCATCGTATGTATCAGTACCGTTCTTTTGATCTTTAGCAACCCGATTTGAACGTAAATCTTGTCCTAGCTAATTCATGAAGTGTGTACCAGTGCCTCCAAGTACGCCGCTACCATAAGCCCGGGCAGCGCTCGGCGGATCGTTGGAAAAAGAACAGCCTCTTCCCCCAATCATCAACTTCTCGCCCCCTCACAATAAGCATACCATGGCAGCACGTCATAACATAATGGGAATGCTTATCTGGCGGGTGGGGGGGGGGTCGCTGGGGTGTTTGATCATTAGGGGGAAAGGATTGTGAGAATGGGGCCCGACTGTAGGAAACTACCCATCGTAGGCGCGCTATCGCAAATTGCCTTTCGTCTTGTGGTCGTTGTGACTGCAAGCAGCTATGACCCATGTTTGGAGTTGTAGGAGCCTACGTATGCCGCTTGCTTACTTACTTGCTGGGGAGACAGTGCCTGGTGTGCTGCAGCTACGAAAGGATGTAGACCCTGTGTCCCAATTAATTATTTGCCCATGAAATTTGAGGATATACCGCAAATCCTCACTTGTATGAATTACCAACAGGGACGGCTAAGACGGAAAGCTCCTGGCTGTTGGACCCTCTGGCCCTAGTCGAGAGTTGTAAGTTGCAGCTTTCTCTGAGAACCCTTTAAAAACCCTCCTTTGGCAAATTGCGAGGTGCAGGATTGCATCCGGAGGAATCGCGGGCCGAACTTCCGGCTCATTTACCCGCGAGACTGCTGATCTTAGCCCAAAAGTGATAAACTGGATAGGCCCTCGAGCCCACATCCTACAGAGCGTGAAGCGCATAATCAAGGCCTGCTTCCAAGGAGGGGATAGTGGTCGCAAACTTGGCTTGTGGGGTCAGGGGTTCGGTTTCTGCGCTTTGGGGTCAATTTGGGCGCCCATAAAACATCCATCTCCTGTGCGCTTCGCGAAGAAGGCCCCTATGCAGGACGGTTGTGGGGTAGAGCTACCCAAGGTTTGGGTTTGCCAGCCTGGGGAGGACTGTTGGAGATCATCGCATGCCCTATAAAGCCCCTATGGAACGAATGCTCGTACCTGTCGCCTATAAAGGGACATAGTTACCGGATCGATGAGGCATAATCTCAGTGCAGTGAATTGCTGTCATATTTCTGGGGGCTGACTTCAGCCAAGTCCTTCGAGGTATGTAAGCTTGGAGCGATGGGCACACAGCAAAACCTGAAGCTTTTTCAGGGGTGTCTCGGCTTCCTTATGCGCATTTTTGATGAGCTTTTTCCAGCCAATTTTTCTGGCGGCTTCCATGTCTAGCTGTCAGGCTAGATCTAGACCCCACTCAAAGGTCCAGGACAGTTCCAACACTCTTCAGAAGTTCAGGTGTGGCTCATAAGTATGCCGAAATACACAGTTAGTAAGTCAGTCGATGAAAAACATGTGATTACCTCAGACCGCCATACCTGAACCGTATAGCCTGTAGCCCACACCACAAACCCCCGAACTCCTCAGCCCTCAACCCAGGAATCCTAATCCCCAGATTCTATATTCCGAACCAAACGGTAAGCCCCCAATCTAAACCCCAAAAAATCCTGTACTCTACCCCAAAGAGCATGCCAGGCTGCTGCAGGAGCAGCTGAGGAACGTCGCCTGGAGCCGCTTAGCGCTGCAGCTCAACGGGTGGAGGCCCTCCGGAAATGTCTGGGTTTCCTTCCCAAAATTAGGGGTACCTTTTTGGGGGTCCCTATAAAAAGGACTATAGTATTTTTGGGGTCTATATTGGGGTCCCCCTATTACCATATTGGGATTTCTTTCAAAACGGGGCAGCCCTAGGTAGTATATGGTGGTTTCCAAGAATAAGCGGTAGTTGGGGGGTCTATATTGAGATCTAGGGAAACTACCATATGGGGCCGCCGGGCCATAGGGGGATGATTTCGAGGAACTCCCAGATCGACAGTTATTGTGCTGGTTCTGGTCGTGGTTGTAGGAGAGGCAGTCGTAGCTCCAGCAGCACTTGTCACGTGAAAAAAATGCTGCTGTACTAATATAACATGTTCGTGACGCGCAGAATGAGAAGCTGCTTTGGGGCATTCTTATGCTGGAATTCGCGTTGAGTACTTTGAGATCTTTTAGGAGGTCCTCCTTGAGCATCGGTTGGTACTGCCGTCATTGAACGACATAATGGTGATGCTTTGTGGCCCTGATCTTGGAGAATCTGCTGATTTTGGGGCATGCAAGGAGATGCCAGTGGGAGAATAGACCCAAACCCCTGTCAGGATTGGCATTCTGTAGACTTAGACTTTGGTGGTTCATCTCTGGGTCGGTTTTGGGATTCATCATTGAGAGTGCGTTGACTGCCAAAGCCAGCATACGGTCCCAGTAACCCTATGCAGACCTCTGCGCAAAATATATTCAGTTGATACAAGACTTGACAAGACTTTACATTTATATACCTTCTTGAGGTTTACCATGCTATGACCCGGAGTGGGGTAGATATTTTGCAATATCCCCTCAGTTGCCCCATATTAACCCTTCTGTGACAGCTTGCAAATAGGCTTAACTTGTTTAATCTGGGATTGCGAAATGTTCAGTGGCTTGGGCAGGTATAGTGGCCCACTGGACCCGCAAACTGTCCTTCAAGCAGCCAGCAACCCAGCCTGGCTTTTGGAAGGGGTTCGTTGAATTGGGGGATTTAGACCCCCATGGGTTCAGAACCTTATGGTTTTGGGGTCTAGGTTTGCACTGCTTGGGTGTGTCATGTTCAGGGTTTTTGAAAATCATCATTGCTTCAGATTTCTCACAGCTCTGGTGGTTGCTTGGGGTCCTTTTTCCAGCTCCCTATCCCTGTCTACCTGCCCACTTGTATCATCTTGCCCTGAGTTTGTTGACTGGCAGTGACCAGCAGGTTTCCTGAAGATCATCTCGAAATCCGTGTCTAGAAGAAGCAACTGTCATGTTCACTTGTTCCCAGAGGCCTGCAGGCACTGCCAAAAACATAGCCTTGGTAAAAACTCCCTAGCATAAACACGCAATCCTAAGTCCACCCTCCTTCCACCCAGCCACCGTCAAGGCAGACAACAAACGCCTGGCATAACAAACCCTGCAACCCCAAAGGTGTGTGGCGGATACACGACGCCGCCTGATGAGTGCTCTAAGCTTCGGCAAGGAGGATCTTTAGGCAGGGCAGCAAGAGCTGAGAGGTGCGATCGTTACTTTCTTCTCATGTTTGGGGGTAGGGTGTAGTAGTAGGGTTTAGGGTTCAGGGTTGAGGGAGTAGGGTTTAGGGTTTAGGGTGTGTCCTCTGCTTGGCAGTGGGACTGAACAGCAGGGCCCAGACACTAATCATGTCCTCAAATTCCATTTGTCACATGTTAGTTTATGTTTGGGGTTTCAGGCTCAGATGTTCAGATGGGTCGGGTAAACCCTGAAGCAAAGGCTTTCAAAGAACAAGGTGCCGTGTTTCGCACATCAAGCAATATGGCTAGGTAGAACAACGCTTCGGTTCGTTGCTAGTCGTGCTGCATCCCTCCAACTGGGATTGCAATGGCCAAAGCTATCAAGCCTGAACCCCAGACACCCAGCCCTTAGCCCAGACAATCCTATCTACTGTCAGATTTTCCCTCAATCCTAACACGCCAACCCGAAGGCGCTTCCTTTTCCGAAGCCTCCGGTGGAGCCTCGCTGGCCTCCCTCTTTGCCGGCCTTCTGCTGCTAGCACAGTGCTCAGGTGTTGTGTTAGGAATGGAGAAACTCGTGGCAAAGAAAAGGGAAAACAACATGGAAACTCGGGCCTATGAAGATGTACAGACAGTAGGGAGGAGTTTTTTGCTGGTTGTGTATAGGAAATGAAAGAATGGAAAAGAAACGGAAAACTACTGCATTATCTCATCTTAGTCTACTACACTTTGCTCATTCCCTATGTACTGAGGCGCGTATCGTGTTTTATCTCTTGTTGACTCAAGCTAACAATACACTTCGAGACTTCAGGTTTTTGGGTGTGAGTCATAAGTTGCAGTTCTCAAAAGGATTTCTGGCTTGAACACTTCCTGGTCTTATCAATGAAGCACCAATGGGGCTACCCCCCCAGGCTGCTCAGGGTTCATTTGGGAGTGCCGGGTCCTGTTTATCCTGAAGCCGTTCAGGCAAACTTCCTGAACACAAGCTGGGACACGGACCACCAAACTTTTCCTGGTCCTGGATTGACTGCGTCCTTCTTCGTGCAGGAATGGGCGTGGCCTTTCCTCAATGAACCGTCCCAGACATTCCTC